ATTTTTTTAACAAAATGTTTAAATAATCTTCATATTCTCAAAAAATCATTAAAAAAAATCATTTAAATGTTATACGAAATATAATTATAAAGATGTTTTCTAACATAATCTTTCAAGTCTTTTTATAAAATATTCAGAAGCATATAAACAATGTTTAATATCAGAGACAGATTTAGGAGTGGGATGCCTGGGTCCCCCTTTATGGCCCTTATGGAGCTACATTTATGGTTAATCCAGATTTTTTTATAACTCTCAAAACTTTGTCTAGTTTAGGGCCTGATGACCCCTTTTTATGCCCCCGCAACTGAAAGTTGGGGGGGGGGGGGCATATTATTTTACCCCTGTCTATCCTTCAGTCTGTCTGTCCGTCCGTCCCGTTATGGGTATATAGTTATTCAGCACAACTTCTCCTACAGTTAGAATCCTAGGAAGTTTTCACTTTGTTGTCTGTTTGTACATATATTGAAGGTGTGCATGTGGTCAGGGTTTTGATTTTTATTAATATTTGCTCTTTTGGGAGATAGTTGAACTTTGTCATTTTTGGGGTATAAGCGGTTAAATGTTATAGTTATTTTAAAATAACACTTTGCATCTACGGGGGCATCAATTGTGTCTCCCAGACACAATAATATCTCAAAGAAGTCCTACATTGACTTTGTTTTAATACAGTTACTTCAGAGAGGAGTGGGGGGAGGGGGCATCACTTTATCTAGATTCAAAATCCTGGATCCACATTTGAGAAAACAACTGCCGTCATACTGATCTTTACCCCACATCTCCTTTTACATTTGTCTGCATGCTGTTGATGCCGACTTAATCTGCATATATTTTGGCTATTTTTGTCGGGTTGATGTCTCATTGACAAACCCCAATATTTCCTGTCTTAGATATCAATTTTATTGAATAGTCAATTTTTTTGTATTTTGCACTGAACACATATGAAAAAGAAGATGTGGTATGATTGCCAATGAGACAACTCTCCACAAGAGACCAAATGACACAGAAATAATTACAACTATAGGTCACCGTACAGCCTTCAACAATGAGCAAAGCCCATACCGCATAATTTGTTTCACTTACATAGAGGTATTAATTTTTTCAGATTATAAATATCCTCATGCATTTCATTTGGTCCAGCATTGAACAAATTTTTTCTTAGAAGTGTTTTTTTTATCTTTTGTTTGATCATGTGTAGCATCTGTCATTTTCTGTCTGAACAGCTTTTCGATGGTTTTCTTTGCTGTCTTGGTCAACAATACACAAGATAACAACAATAAGAAATGCAAAAAATTTATTTAATTTTGTCATTTCACTGTTCTTTTTCAATTTTTCTTTTGTTCCATTCTTTTTATTTCTCTTGACTTCTGCTGGCTTCTGTAAAGAAAATGTTAACAAATTAGTCCTGTTGTTTAGTGAGTAAACTAGTAGAGATAATTTAAATTTCATCAAATTACCGAGAAAATTTTATTTTAATCCAGTCTGGTTTCATAAAAATTTATATTGAAAAGCGACATCTAATCAGTGTGGCTGGATTCGGAAGTAATATGTATAGCTATTAGATATACACGTACATCTGTGGAGTTTCAGGTGTATTATTATCATACGAGTCTGTAACGGTAGAGTTCACCAGTACTAAAATAAAACTGTACAGTACCATTTTCCCAACTGAGATAACTTAAGGACCTGTAACCTTTACTTGGTTTTACAAAAAATCAACTCTCTTAATGGTAATTGTATATAATAACACAAATACATTTTTGTGATATAGATTGAGGCTATAAAAGGATAAATACCTTCACACAATCTGCTCCTCCAGAATGTTTTGAATCTAGGCTTATAAATTCTGGCTCTTCTAATTGATTCTACAAAAGATAAAAAAAAAGTCAAAATATTAAATAAAATACAGTCAAGAAAAAATCGCATTGTACTAGTCAGCTACAAAGGTCACAACATTCAAAAATGAAAGAAAATTCGAACAAGAAAACTAATGGCTTGATTTTAAATTATAAAATAAGACAATAAAAAAACAAATATATATGTATATATATCAGAAATTAACCAACTATAATTACTAAATTAAAGGCTCCTGACTAGGATTGACACATTAACAATTATCTATACTTACAAAAAATGTATCTGGCCTGGCCTGAAGGGCTAGCGATTAATCACAGGCACTTGTCTCAGAAAAAAATGTCCTATATACCTTAATATAACACGTGTTATATTAACTCTTTACTGTTTGTGCTTTTTTTAAGGAATTTTACATGGAAATGAACAAGATTTTCCAATCATAAAAAAAAATGCTTTTACAATTTACCAATGTTTGTTTTTATGTTTTACATTAATAAATAGTGTAACACAAAATTTTAAAACTCAGTTTCAGTCATATACCATGACAACTGTTGCCATAGCAACGAATTAAACAGCAAGTAAAAGCGGATTTTACAACGTTTTTTGTGTGTTTCAAGACTTCCATCCACCAGAACATGAACTTATATAGTCAAATAGGGTCTTTTCTAACAAGAGCTTTACCTGGTATTGTTTACTGGAAAAAATGTAGGAGTTTTGTTTTACATAAATCTGACCGTTCATGTAAATTTCTGTTGCTAAGCAACAACCTTTTCTTCCTAAAAATGTTGATTTTGTCTTATTACCTTCAATACTGACTGCCTACCCCCCAAGGGTGACTGGGGAATAGAAGTATGGTCACCATTGGTCTTCCTCCGACCGGCAGTAAAACCCGTGCTAAAGTGGGGCGTCCGTTTGGCTGTGCGGGATGTACAAATTTGCAGCCACGTCCGGTCAGAATGGGGACGTTAAATCCGATGCCTCGTGTAGAGAGAGTGCCACGCTCTTTGCACGTTAAGAACCCTTGCAACAACTCTTTGAGGGGTCCGTAGGTGACCTGTTGCAAGGCTAAATTTCTGTCCCTATCCAATATACCCTCATTTCCCGTGGCAGTCCAAATTTCTCCGACCTTAATCCCTTATTCTATTACAGAACCTACCTATTGTATTTATTGTGAACTTGTTCTCGTCCTGAATATGCATGAAATATTTGCCACTGGACGTTAAGCAACCAACAATCAATCAATCAATACTGACTGTAAGTAGCAGTTTACACTTAGTAACACTTTAAACTAATACAAGTTATTTCCACATAGTTTTAAAAACTTGTAAACCAACTCAGTTTTATGGTTGCTATGGCAACCATGCAACTTTAAAAAATTAAAATTCGACCATAGGTACTATCATATTTTCTATTTTGTTATGTAAACTGTATTCAGTCTAAATAAGTGACTTCACATAAGATTTCAAGTTTTTATTTCAGTAAGGGGTGTGAAAAACCAAATGGTTGCTATGGCAACAGAAAAATTGAAATTCCTCACCGTATGCATCAATATGAAAAAAAATTAAAGTTTGACTTGTTTATGTTTATTGTTTTGTTTTAGGTAAACAGATACTTTGATATGATACCAATAGTATCTTGCCGAACCATTTTTTTTTTGTTTGCTCTTTTGTTATTATAGCAGGTGTTCGGCATACTACTGACAGTTCAATTATACATAAGTGTATGTCCAAAGGTGTTGCAATAACCTACCTTTTAAAGAAACCTCTGTCCTTTTCTGTTGATGTTGACACATTCATTCATTGTGTAGTTATTTTCCATCCTATCCAAGAACTTGATAGTGTTGATATTCAATTGTATCTCAACACATATAAAGTCCCCAGTAAGGATAGTTTTTTTTTTCCATTTCCATTTTTTTCCCACTAAAACAAATAAGTAATATTTAACATAATACTTTTTCATTTTTCTATCCTTTACTTTTTTTTCATTTTCTTACTTTTTAATCATGAACTCAACAAGAACTATAAATTATTAATACATAATACATAAAAATATTGTTTATTTAACACTTGACAGTTAATGCATGACGATTGTGACATTCATAACAGTTGGTTTCTCTTTCTACCATTTTCTTTAACCCAATTTCTAACTGTTTTTCCTTCAACACTATGCCATTTTTGAAAGCAGTTTCTTTCAGGTACTAAACATAGACACACTGAGCATTTTTCACAACAGAATACAGTTTTATTATGTTGAACAGGCAAATTATTCATCTTTGCATGAGCATAACAATAAGTACAACGCAGTCGATTAGAATTTTCATTAAAAGCAGGGGTGCATGCAAACGATTCATGCTTCTTTTCTAATGATTCAACATCTAACAATGATCTAACCAACGACTCTCTGTATTCTAATTGTCCAAAATGTGCAGGAAGTGATTCGAATTTATTTGGAAATTCAGTTCTGAATTCCTGGAAGAGAATGAAAGAATTTACTACCATCATATCAAGGCAATGGAAGAACAATACTTTCCACCAATGAAATTTAGTTTTAATATAACACCGATGCCTTGACAGATATTGGTTTGACTTGTCCACACCAAACATACCTTCATTGTAACTTTTAATACATTCTGGTTGCTTTACAACCTGTTTTTTCCAACCAGTTCTAGCTTGAAAAGTTCTGGTGCAACCAGATACCTTACTACCTGTGTGTATAGGAGAAACAATTGTTACTACCTTACAATCTTTCCACTGAACTGTCAAAAATCTGTTTTCTCTATGCCATCTAAAGTCACCCCTGCCAGCAAGCTTTTCCCAGCCATCATGTTTCTTAAACACACTAGGCTTGGCAGTACTGTTTCCACGAACAGCTCCTATGGTGTACACTTTCTGGTCTAACAAATCATTAATTAAATTTAAAGTTGTATAAAAACTATCAATAAAAAGCCTATAACCTTGATTACAATAACTTGGCATTAAATTCATAACTACACTATATGCCAGACCTTTTGATAAATTAGTTATTTGAGTTCTTTTTTTCCCTAAATAAACATAAAAATCACATGTATAGCCAGTAATGGTATCAGCTAATACCCAAAGCTTAATCCCAAATTTTACAGGTTTATCTTTCATGAATTGTCTTATGTCTTATTCCACTCCATTTATGTTTTGACTTAACAATTCTTTCGTCAACAGCAATCTTTTCATAAGGTTGAAAAAGTTCCCTTGAAATATTTCTTACATGTTCAATGATTGGTTCTACTCTTGTTAGTTTATTATCTGCAAAAACATGAAAAAGGAAGATTATGTGATATGTGTACATTAATAAACTGAACACAACAGTCAACATTAATACAATACTAAGTCAGTCAGAAAACACTGATAGATAGAGAACTTATAGTAAGATAACTTATATCTATCATTGTCTATAGTATATTGAAAACCCATGGTACAAAACATATTTTTTTAATTTCAAAGTAAATAGGACAGGAATATCATTATTTAACAATGATAATTCATACATTAAATTAATTTTAAGATTAATCTTAAGATTTAATTTCCTGGACAGTCTCTTACCTTTGTCAACATCAGGTAAAGGTGTGATCTGTAGAAATGAAAGGATGGCCTTAAATCTTAAGCATGACATACACAATGGAACAGGGTTGAATCTGTACAGGACATCTCTACTCCAGTAGCGGTCAACAGTACTGAGTTTCATAAAGGACATGTATATCAATATACCAATGAACCTAAAAAATCTTACATTATATATATTTGCAGAAAATAAGCTGAAATGAAATTTAACATTAATCAAGGCTTCTTTATTTTTTCCTAAAATTTGTTTTTTAAGGTGCCTGTCTTATTAGAATAAAACATATATCTTCATGTAGTACTGACATTTATTCCAAATGATGTTCTTGTGATTAGATGATTTAAAACTTAAACACAGACTTACAAGCCAGATAGTGTCTCATGCAATATTCAATATGAACATATTGCATGCATAAACATTATTAATTAAATGAAAGAATGCTACATGTACATTAAATGAAAGTATTTGCTTTTATTGAATATGACCTTTCTAGATTTTCTGCACTTATATGTACAATGTTCATTGTTTTAATTTGTGTTGCTAAGTTTTACTTTTCCATTTCCTGCTCTGTAACAACTTCCCAAGTTCCAGTAGGTCCAGCATATGACTGAAATCTACCATTCCTGATATGGTATGCAGCATGTTGATTTGTAGACAAGCAGAGAGATGTTAGCAATGTACCAGTTAAAAACAATTTAAAGAAATCAACAGGAGAGGTCAATAACTTCAATGTGTGTCTGGAAATAAACAGCAATAGTTTAGAATATTTTGGAAACCTTCCCAAATAGCATTTCTTATTTATTTACACTGAGATTTAAAAATAATATTCATTCACATCTTTTTCTCCCTGAAAATTATGGTTACATGTAGGACATGTAGTTAAGTAATAAAGACAAATGTTAATAAATTTTGAACTGTAATTCACAAAAAAAAATTATCTATAAGACTATTATTTAACCTAGACAATCTTCCAAATTGTATGCCTGGTTTCCTGCTTGGTTTGAACTGGAGCCCCATCATCATTGCTGTTTTCATCTTTCCAGTAGATCCTTGTGCTATTGGTGGTACATGAACTTGATCCACTTTCAATTGATGATTGTGAAGATCTGTTAAAAATGACATGAAATAAACTTCAATAATGATTAGAAATTATGTAAATGTAATATATGTACGAGGTCTTCTTAATTAATTGGACTGTTAAAGGGCCGAAGTTATCTGATGGTATCTGAGGAATTATAGGAAAAAGTCTAATTTACCTAACGGAAAGACAATAATTAGTGAAAACTGCGAAAAATAGCGCTGGACAGCTTATTTTGAATACAAAAGCTATTAAAGATGCATAAAGTCTAGAAAGTAGATCTAGTCAATAAAATAGCGTTCCCTTGGCATTTTCGATAATAAGCGGGCATTTTCGATAATAAGTGAGCGTTTTCGGGATTATGTTTTTCTTGTGTGTACACAAATATTTTAGTTTGTAATATCATTATACACTAGTATTGTCAGTTGATTATAACAAATATTTATTAGCAATTCAAACTGCCATGATTATTTATTGATAATGTTTTTATTTAAATTAGATAGTCTGCATTATTGTGTAATTTTGAATACAAACATATAAGTATCTGTTGGTATCCATGGATCATCATGATCAAAATCATTTAATTCTTCCTCATTGTCACCAAGTAGGAAGTCCAAATAATCTTCCTCTTCTTCAGACATTCCTTCATCTGTACAAGGCTCTTCATAGTCATCAAAATCTGAGAGTAAAAAATATGCATTTCACATTTTTCTGAACAAATACAAACACAGGCGCGGATCCAGAGCTTAAAGCGGTTTTTTTTTTAGAAGCATTTTTGAACATTATAGAAGTTTTCTCAATTGTTATACCAAACCTTATGTTTTCAATATATGGCACACTTTTTGTTCATCCGGCATATGGTTATTCAAAATTAACTTTTTAGATTAGTGTAGTTATTTAATTACAGACAAAAATACTTCAATAAAAGAAAATGGCAAACATTTAATGTACAAAGTTATCCTAAAATGTCTATTGTTGATAGTTTCATCCTGATGTTGTAGGCTCTAGCATACTGATTGATCACTGATTCACTGCACTTTTAACAATTTTCGTGCTGATATGAATATGCATTAAAGCAAGGCAATTGAGTCTCTCGCTTGTCACAGTTCATCGCAAATAAGTCTTTAAGAGTTTGAGAGGGATGAAAGTCTTGTGCTCTTAATATGGCTATTTGGAGGTATTCTGTTTTTTTCGTGAGATTTACATGCACCATTTACTTTTACTCAATTCTGAACATGTTTCTTAATAAAATGTCCGAGGTTGTGGTCAGTAGCGAACACTAAAACGCAAAATTTGCAGTTAATTCCGTCTGGTGAAGTTGAATAGACAATCCATGGGTAAAAGTGCAGCCATGCATATTTGAAGCATCTTTTAAACCCGTACATTTCTAGTTTAGGAAAAGGAAAAGAACTAGGTGAATTCCAGTTTTCATTTAGAATGCTATATATTTGAGCACTAGGAGATAAAGTTTGCAATATCCTTAGATTCTGCAGGTGTCTCAGCAGTTGCAGAATTTAAAAAAAATAATAAAAAAAATTATATTAATGATATATTAGAGTAAGAAAGTATTTTTCTTCAAATCAAGCTAACAGAAAATGTCGTTTTAATTATAAAACCAACAAAGTAAAAAAATATAGGGATAGCAGCCTTGGATTGTCTTAATTAAATCCTTTGAGCCTCTAATTATTTTCCCCCAGGCCAATGTGATTATGACGTGTGTATTAAATGGAGTGTAGCGACAACGTGTCATCCCATTAAGTTCTCACTGGATATTCAATTTTTAGTAAAGATATCATTAAAACGAGAAATGATTATGTGCTTTCTGTTCACAAAAATATTTTAAGATTTAAAGCCGGGGGAGGGGGGGGGGGGGGTTTCCCGAACCCCCCCCCCCCTCCTTCTCACCAAACACCCCTAAATCCGCTAGTGAAACAAATAACCACAGTTCTGTTGAAGAAATCAATGGGGACATGTACATGTTTATGGGTAACATTTTATTTCACAAAACAAAAAACAATAAAGACTGGACACGCCCATTTTTTCCAATACCATCACGGCATCGTACAAACACCCACTTTTGTTTCTGAAACTACATCAGTTCAAAATTTATGTAAGAATGACCGTAAAAATATGACACCGGAAACCTCTTATTCTGTCAGTGTTCTATAATACGAGGTACGGTTCATGTTTCTGAAATCAAAAGGAAAAGTATAAAGTTCGTAATCAACAGCTCAAGGTCCAAAAAAAAACTACTGCTCGGAGGTCCATTTTCATCTATATAGAGTATCCTAATGAGACTTTAAGAACTGTGTTGCATAATTTTACCACAGCAGTGTTTAATCAAATAAATTAATGTTCAATACTAGTTCTAGGGACTTTCAAACTGAAGAAAATCTAACCTATTTCATCGTCAACTTCTCTCGGGGGCGTAGCCATTTTGATAAGAAATTCTAACAAATAACAAGTCATGACGGGGGAAAAAAATCCGCTTTTTCATCCTCCGACTTGAATCTTTCTCTAATCATTGCGAAGTAAACTGTAGACTAATAAATATGTATAATACACCAACATTTAGATAATGTAATGAGTAACATGCAGCTAACTTTAGTTTTTCCTATTTGAATACGCATCAAGTTATACGAGTCCAAATGTCCGAAACAAAGAAAAACAACGGCAAACTGTGGACCACTTACGACCATACGTTTAAGAAAATCATTCTTAAAAAAAAATAAAAGTGATTTTAGAAAAAATAAATCGGCCAAAAGTTTTAGTTTTGTCTACTGAATATTCGAGAATCCGTTCATGGAAGTGCGGTTGGAATTTAATACCCAATTTGCCGTTCAACTGCAGCTTTGTACTTTGTGAAATGGCGGTAAATTTATGCAGTTTTCTCGGGTTGTGTTTTTTAAATTAATAATTTTTTGTGTAAATTCAAGCAAGTATTTACCGATGACAGTTACATATTTAAAATCTTGAGAACCTTAGCTTTTTAAAAATGTATAACATTGCATATGTATTTTAAAGAACACCTATCTAAAATGTGGATACTTTTTACCGATAACGAAAAAAAAGCTTATGACCCGAATTCGGGTCATAGGAACGGTAAAGAGTTAAGGTATATAGAAAAAAAAATTCTGAGACAAGTGCCTGTGCGTTTAATCATGAAAACTGTATAATGAATATATTGTCTTTCATGGTTACAAATATCTACCAGTAGAAAATGTCTGCAATATTTCACTATTTTAAATTACTTTACTAACTAATACACTGTTGATGACGCTGAAAACAGCATACCTAATATATGCTATGTCTTGCTTTTGGACTCTGTCAAGGCAAGACAAAAAGGAAAGAAATCAATGATTCAAGTTAAAATATATTGATTGGTTATTGGAATCTTAATGTCCTGTGACAAATATTTAATGCATGTTCCAGCCTAAGTTTAATTAAACAAGCTAAGGAATGGTTTGAATTTTTTTAAAACATGTAGGTAAAGATTTTTTACACATGATAGATTAAAATGTTAGGATTACAAAGGAGGTTTCTGCTTGCCATGAAATATTTGAAAAACAAGATATCAAGTGGATTTAATGGTATAACTAATGAAATATTGAAAAATTCTTGTATGCTGAATGTTGGACATGATATGTATATAAAATTATGAAACACTACTTTTTTCTTAAAAATTACTAAAATTTTCTCTCTAGCAAGAAGTTCTTATTGGAGAGAAAATTTATTTAACCCATATTCAAAGGAAGATGTTTTAATAGCCCTTCAAACAACAGAGGTATAACCCTTTTACTAGTTTAGGAACATTTTTTTCTATAGTATAATAGTTTAGAAAACTATTAAGAATCTAATAAGATTATCTGCCAAGAACAGATAGGATTCAAAAAAGGAGGTAGAACTATAGGGACCACATTTCTAAGTTTAAAAAATATTTAGTTGGGTTAGTTTTCATAATTATTTTCTAATCAATTTTGCAGAATTTGAAATTATTCCATATTTAAATAATTCCTTCAGTTGTTTGAACTTGAATTGCAAATAAAACTTCATTATAGATGTACATATCTTTTAAAATTTTCAAAAATGGCCCCATCATGTTGTATGTAAAAAGTTTGCAGAGAAGGGCCTTTATATTTTTTTTTACAGTGTCTTTTTTTTAGGTTGATGAAGCTGAGACATATTAAAAGATTTAAAGATTAAAAATGTAGAATCATGTCTTGTTTAAAAGTGGTATTGGGAGGATTTAATACTTTCCTTGTGTAATTGTCCCATATTAAAAAGTAATAAATTGTTTATATATAACTAGGACTATTATACTATTAGTATATAATAGTCCCAGTATATAATAAGTTAAATTTAATTTTCCCTTGCCCAGTCTGCATGGTCTGTATCACATTTCATGGCCAACAGATAATATCTGTATAGAACCCCTATTTTTAATTATTAATATACAAAATCATTTAAATGTATCCTCGAAAGTATAATTATACATATATGACTATTTATTTGTTCAGTGGGTTTTTTTTTTTTTTTTTTTTTCTAACTTGGGGTACATGTATTTGTCACTTGGTATTTCACACTAAATATTTCATATAAAATTGCATTTCAAAAGATTATTTAGGGGATATTTCTGATTTGATTTTATGCAACTTGGTACCAACAGAATAATTATTTGTTTATTTTCATTTTCTTCTGAGATAAACATAAATATTATTGTCTATTATAAACAATCTTGCTATATAATTATATTTCAACCAAATTAAATTGTAAAAAATAGTATATGTGTTCACATCAGGAGCAAATAAAAACAACTGATGACAGAGCTATGACATAACAAACAAATACTCTTTATATAAAATTCAGCGTTTTTCAACACATTATTTGTAAAAATACAACCATGAATGCCTCCAATAAACGTGTTTATATATGAAATATAAAGCCCAAAAATGTAGGTGGCGAAATCTTTTTGGTTATGTACTGTAGCGGCGTTTCCGCTTATAATAGAAGAAATCTCAATAGTTTTTAAATACATCGTTTACCTTTCTATAAGATCTATATTTCTATCTCTTGTGACAGCTCCACGTAACGTTAGTTCTGGAACAGACCAGGTGATGTAATCATCGGATGCCATTGTTTACGTTGTAAATACAGATGCAAGCGTTTTACGTGATTGAAGCGTTCAAGTAACCACTTATGGAACCGCAGCGCCGCCACGCGTGAAAAGTCGTGAATGATTCCTGTTCTTTAGTTTATACTCAATCTGTTTGATACAGGTTTGTTTATGGTGGGACTTTTGTTTGAATTTGACAATTAAAAATAGCACATTGACATTTCAAGATTAAACATACCTTTTTTATTTGCACATTAGCAATTGAAAGTCTACAACCGAGGTCCATTAGTTTGCCCTCTCCTATTGTTTTCAACTGTGGCTCCTTGAAATCTTTCACCAGGTCTATATTGTTGCCTTGCAACTCTTCTGTTGTTTCAAGAATCTGAAAATGGTCAGAATTGCAATGCATTTCTTAAGTTGGCTGGCTATATATAGCTAGGAGATTAATATTTATGAGCTTAAGTGGGAAATTGGTTTGTTTTTTGTCTGTAGTTTTAACGTTTTTATACACCTGTTTAGTAAAATCTGGTGAGCGACACAGGCTATTGGGAGCCTTTAGTTAATTATTGGCCTCGGATGATTAAAATATATACATGACAGCACAGATTGGAATTATGTTCTTTAATTAATACTAAAGTGAAAATATTTAAATTTTGAGATCTCTTTATTTCTGTATAATTGTGGTTTTATTGATAACATCATAATAGACTCCCCAATTCATGTTATTGCCTTCCTATCCCTAAAATAATGCAATGTTTAATTTTTAGTTCCCACTTGAAAATGATTGCAATCATAACGGTCCTCAACCGCATGAACTTCAAATGAATGTATTGGTTGAAGTTGTGCTTTTGTTTGATAGTCTATCCATGTAGATTAATAACTTTTGATAGTTGTCCATATTAAAGAAATTTCTGATATGGTTATGAATATATTGCATAGAAGCCAGCTGATACAAGCATTTAATTCAGAACTATATAGTAGAAATTAATTCAACCATTTTATGGCATGGGGATTCCTCATCTAAAGGAGGTTTGTATATTTTTAAAATACAATGCACTTATGTAAAGTTTTTTGCTAGTAATTTTGTGAAATCAAAAATATATATGATTTCTGTGGTCTATGGAAAAAGTGATAAGGTATTTACCTTTGTTTTTGGTTTTATTACGATACCATAGCTGTTTCTTTCTGCCATGTATACTTTGTATACACGGTTTGGTTTCAAATCAAACTCCTGGTAAGAGTAAATTTGATCAATTGTACTGTCAACAACATTTAGGGCCATAACTGTATGTAGAGTAAAACTGTTTTGCTTGATTTTGCTTATCATCTCCCGCTCTTCCTTTGGTTGTAGGATGTAGGATAGAGAAAAAGCAAAAAAAAAGAAAAGTCAAAATTGAGAACTTGACCTTGACCTCATTTTCTAAGTAAGGACCTAGGGACTTCAAATAAAAAGATTCCAGGATTATACGGTTAAAGGTTCAAGAGTTAATTAAACATCCAACAAATTTATTTCATAAAGATAGATAACTCCTAAAAAATTTCATCGAATCGCTTCGATCCAAATTAGGCAAAAATTCCTGAGGATGTACCGAACAATATCTTTATTTGTTACGAAGGAGATGCAATCACATGATAAACAGTGATAGTTGACTTGATACTGATTCCAAAAATATATTGTGCAATATACTTTTACATTAAATAGTACAAAAATAGCTACTTCCGGTTTACACAAGGTCACTTCCGGTTAGCTTTCCAATGGTCAAGTGTCTTGCAACGTAATGCAAAAAGTCCCAAGGCTTTATCATGTATACATATGAGGTAAAAGCAAAGGTCAAAATCTAGAACGTCAATTTTACCGATGAGTTCAATTTCAAGGTCATAAACCAAGGGCTTCAAATCAAAAGACCATAGGTCTTAATTATATTTTGTTAATGAGTTATATCACCATACACGTATTTTTAAATACAAGAGGGGAGAAAACTCCGTTTTACGTTCAACGTACCCTTGTAATCGAAATTTACGTGTTACAACATGTCGCAACTAACAATTTAGAAAAAAAAAATGTCTATTTCTTATACGGTTTTTGGAAATAAGTGAAAATAAACCAAATTCAAAAATTAGAATATGACCTTGACCTTTGGCCTAATTTTCATTTTTTTTTGGACCAAGGACCTCAAATCAAAAGATCCTAGGTATCTATTACTTATGGTTTACAAGATAGAAATGCATATCACTTATATCAAATACATAAGGGGAAATAACTCTCATATGGAGTGTTTATAAATATCGCTTCGGTCAAAATAGGACAAATCATGCCAAGGATATAACGAGCAATTTTATAAAATAAATTTGTCGATTTCTTTTATGGTTACGGAGGAAAACAGTGTTCGGGGAGATAACTCCTACAAAGAAAATTGTTCGGCTTAGAATGGGTGAAAATAAAAAGCGCATAAACAGTACCATACTATATAAGAAATATCTAAGCGACATCTTGCGAAACAAAAATCTTAGGCGAGAACAAAATTAGGCGGATGAAAAAATCAATAATAATCAGAACAAATACAATAGGTCTTTCCACGGAAAAGTGGAAAGACCTAATTATTTATAGATAAAATTCAAAGTGACATAAATATATTACTTGAAACATGGGAAGGGGAGTGTAAAGATTATAAAATATTAAGTTATAATACTATTTCAAAAATACGCAAAAAGAAATAAAATGCACGTCGACATAGTGGAGGAATTATTGTGTATTACAAAAAAGAAATAGCAAAGGGTATAACCAATATAAATGGTACAAAATCACAAAATAGACTATGGCTAAAACTTGATAAGGAGTTCTTTGGTTTCAAGGTAGATTTATATCTATGTGCAATATATGTTCCCCCTATTAAGTAAAACTATTTTGAAAATGATAATAACTTGAGAAAATGAGATCAGTACTTTTGCAAGACAAGGAAAAGTACTTTTAATGGGGGAAATGAATGCAAGGACTGGAAAATGTCCTGATTTTATTAAAGGAGATTCTTGCCAAATAAATAGTTTTGATGCTGAAAATCTAATACCAGATTATTATGAAGTGGACACTGAAATTTCTAGAAACAATCAAGATAATGTTACAAATGTACAAGGTAAATCCTTATTAGAATTGTGTATTGCCTCAAGGTTACGCATATTAAATGGCAGTTTTATAGGGGACAGCCTAGGCTACTATACTTATATGTCAATAAATGGATACAGTGCTGAGGGTTATGCATTAATAAGCGAAAGTTTCCTGTCCTCGGTGAAATACTTTAAAACTGATGATCTTACTTACTTGTCAGATCATGTACAGATTCAGTTAAATTTAAATTGTAGTATAAAACAAATTTTTGACCTTAAAAGTCATATAGAAAAAAAAAAATGGAAAGATTTGAAAAGATATAAATGGACTGAAAATTTACAAAACTTGCTACTTAAAGCTCTTATGTCAGAGCATATTAAAAATGATATATTAAATTTTGAATTAAATGAGTATGAGGAAAATCAGGAAGGGGTTGATGGTGCAACTGAAAATTAACTAATATTTTTGAAAATATCTCTGGGATTACTTGTAAAATATCAAAAAGATTTAAAAGTAAGAGAAAAAAACATAGACAGATATGGTCAGACAATTGTGTCTATGAGACAAAAAAATAAATAAACTTGGTTGCAAATAAACTTAAAAAATGTCCAAATAATCAACTTAAACAGAAATATTTTGAATTGTTTAAACAGTTTTAAAAAAAATGGTAAAATTTAAAAAAGCAAAAAACAGAGAGAAGATATTTAACTCGTTGACAGATAGTTTTGATAAGAAACCTAAAGACTATTGGGAAATACTTAAAGGAATGAAAAACAAAAAAATGTCGGTAATGAAGTACCAGAAATTTTAAAAGACGAAGAAATAATTACGAAGCATATTCAGGACCAAGGAAAACCCACATTTGTAAATATAAAATGGAAAGAAATATTGAAAAACAACTTGTTAATATTGAAAAAAACATTACATCTAATAAAGAAACAGACGCTCCAATAAAATACTCTGAAATAAAAAATGTTATTAGTAAGCTTAAAAAAGAAAAAGGTCCTGGGCCAGATACCATTATTAATGAAACAGTAAAATTTAACAATACTTTTGATAGATACATTTTTACTAAACTGTTGAACCTAATTTTGAATACAGGCATTTACCGATCAATATGGAAATACTCATATTTAATTCTATTGCATAAATCAGGGGAAAAAGTGATCCTAATAATTACAGGGAATATCCCTGATAAGTTGCTTACCAAAGTTGTTTACCGACTGGGGTGCTGATCGCAACATTTTACTTAATTTATATAGATCTCTAGTTAGATCCAAACTAGATCATGGCTCTATAGTGTATGGCTCTGCACGGAAGTCCTACATACAGATTCTCGATGCTGTGCATCACCAGGGTTTGCGTCTCTGTCTTGGCGCCTTTAAAACCTCACCAGTTGAGAGTCTGTATGTAGAGGCTGATAAGCATTCACGTTTTGACAGACGTTTGAAGCTTGGACTTCAATATGCTGTCAAACTAAAAGCCTATTCAGATAATCCTGCCTACAGCTGTGTTTTTAATCCAATTTATGAAAATATTTTTTTGCAAAACATGAAAATAAAATTCCTCCGTTAGGTATACGATTAAAACCACATTTAGCTACTTTTGATTTAAAATCTGTTGCTCAAGTTGAAACTTGCAAATGTCCTCCATGGGAACTTCCTAAACCAAAAATGATATTTGATCTCCGTAAATACAATAAAAGTGAAATAAATCCTCTTTTAACTCAGCAACACTATGCTGAAATTAAAGCCAATTATTCAGATTTTTCAACTGTCTATACTGATGGATCAAAAGATGGTGACAGATTTGCATATACTGCTGTCTTCAGGGACAGAGCTGCAACTCTCCGTTTGCCATCTGCTGCATCCATCTTTACTGCTGAAGCAGAAGCAATAATTTTGGCTTTGAAATTTATTGCTTCTTCAGATAAATCCAAATTTATTATATGTTCTGATTCACTTTCATGCTTACAAGCTATACAAAATTTTATATGTAATGAGGAATTTAAAAATTCTTCTTAAAGAAATAACATTTCTATGGGTGCCGAGTCATGTTGGAATCCATGGAAACACAGCTGTAGACCTTGAGGCAAAGAATGCCCTGGGTGACACTTTATCTAACTGTGATATACCATATATCGATTTTAAATCTAATATTAGAGAATATGTTTTTAATATTTTGAAAAATGAATGGAGTAAGAGAGTTGGTAACAAATTACATGAAATTAAACCTAATTTAGGTAAACCTTTTAATAATTTAATGTGCAGAAAAGATCAGTGTGTTATTTCTAGATGCCGAATTGGTCATACTAGAGTGACACACGAGTATCTTTTAAAAAATGAAGATGAACCACAATGTGTACCTTGCAACTGCAAGTGTACTATTAAACATGTTTTAATTAATTGTATTGACTTTGCTGATATTCGGAAGAAGCATTTCAATGTCAATAATATGTATGATTTATTTAATAATGTTCCACTTACAAATATTGTTTCATTCTTAAAAGAAATTGGAATATATTATAAAATATAAAAAAGGTTGTTATATTTAAAACGATTTTAGTTTTTATCACGTTATTTTAGTGTTGATTTTTATTTGTAAATATTCAATTTGCTTAAGTCTAGAGTTTTAGTTTATTGAAAGACCTTTTGTCTGATTTTAAAAATATACCTTAAATTGTTATAATATTCGAATAACTCTCGCCGCGATATAGCCTTTCTGTGCTAATGCGACGTAAAGCAAACAACAATCAATCAATCCAAGTTGTTTAATGCTGCATAAAATGACAGATTGATTAAACTGATGGAAAATACTACCAGTAATACTCAATTTGGCTTTACGAAAAATCACAGAACCTCTGATAGTATATTTGTGCTCAAGTCCCTAATAAACAAATACTTACACAAAAAAAAAAAAAAAATATAAGTAGTATAAAATGGATGGTTCAAACACTTGACCCCTTGTTTTTCTTTTGTTTGGCTGTTGTTTACAAAATATGTGAGGAATGCCATCCACATATAATGTTAGCCGCATCTTGCTTGATCTGGTGGGTAGTTGTATACAATAGTGTGTAAGGAGGGATAACTCCGGTTTCTAAAAGGTGGACACAAGCGATACACGAGTTGTCCATGTGGTATTTTGAGTAGTAAGCTACTGAAAAAAAAAACGACGGAACGATCATATGGAGAAAATTCCATACTTAAATTAACACACCGAGGTTTCCAAAATTTGAATAACGAGGTTTTACCGAAGGACATTTCATACATATATACTGAACTTATCAGTTTCACAAAAAATAGAAACATGCACATGTAAAAATGTTCGCACTTTCAGCTATTTTTTTTAGTTCTTTTATTTTATCAACATGCATCATCTTTGATGTGCACAAAGCATGTGTACCAATACCAAGAACTCCGATATTCCGATGTTGCGTATTGAGAAAGGGAAACTATGTAATTCACAGCACAAGACTCGTTACGAGGTTGTTGTTCGAAGTAATTTTTGAGGGTGTTGAAATGAGCGCATATGCAGAGATGACACCGGGACTACATTATGTATATTCTAAAGTTGATGATTGCCCTGTTTTTAAGACAAATATAGAAAGTCAGAAAAACGTTGAAATAGGAGATAATGATCAACAGTGTCAGGTATTAATTCAAGCATATTTATAACCATATGCTTATGATAGTAACTTATCCATTCAAGGTGTTCAAACTCTCATCATGTTTCAGAAATTTCAAAACTCCCAGTTTTGTGAAAAATAAAATACTTTATGTCTCTAGTCCATGTAGTCTGTTCAGATTTTTAAGAAAATAATTTAAGAAAAAACACCCAACACCAAAGGAGAGGGGGGAAAACACACCACATTTTACCTTTGTCTGTCTGTCTGTTCGACCCTTTTCTATTATATATATGTCATATACATGTACAAATACTTCAAATGAAGAAATTATTGTAGTGCGTGCATATATTATTACGAATTAGGAAGAATAGACAAAATTGAGATAAAATATTACAATTCTGTAAAATCAACATACATGTACTGTCATATGTATCAGATATCAGAATGGGGGCTTTTATTATTATGATATTATTCAGTTACATTAATTGTATTAATAAATTCTGAATTTACAGTTTTCAGCTTTTACGGTCATGCATATACTTTTTAAAGTTTTATATTCATTGAGCTAAACTCGCACATGTAATTTTATGGGAATCAAATTTCAAAGTCTGCATGTACATGATTCTACAAATTAACTTTTTATTAATTTTTTTTTTATTTTCAGATAGATTTTCTCATGTCAACAACAAAATCTAAAATAACGAACACCAACAGAAATGAGGATACCACTCTCTTAACACAAAGAACTGAAACCCAGCGGTCAACAACACATACCATTACTGACACCAACAGAAATGAGGATACAACCACTTTCCAAACCCCAAGCACTGAAACCAAGATGTCAACAACAAAAAGTAAAATAACTAAAACCGACAGAAATGAGGATACAACCACTTTCCAAACCCCAAGCACTGAAACCCAGATGTCAACAACAAAAAGTAAAATAACTAAAGCAGACAGAAATGAGGATACAACCACTTTCCAAACTCCAAGCACTGAAACGTTAACTAAGCCACCAACAACGGATACAACCACTACCCAAACCCAAAAATCAGTGCAAGATGATCTAAACCACCTTAAAACTTATTTCTTATGGATACTTTTGATTGTTATATGTAAGTATACAATTATTTATTATTAACACGAGGTGGATATATTTATGTGGAGGACTTTAATTATGTGTTATGCATTCACCATCAACTGGAGTAAGATTGATTTAAATCACAGTAATTTACACAGTCTAGAATTATATATATAACAATAATCTACTAAATTTTATTTTCAGTTGAGGATCTGAAACGTATTATCGTTAAAATTCCAAAACCAAGTAACAAAGACAAAACCAAAATAGGACAATACTATATACACCATAAAAAACATGAATTTTCTTTTTATATTCGAATTGCGTTCAAATTTTCTTTTAAATTTTTTTTTTTAAACAATGTTAAAACTATTTTAATTATAAATTTAAAATTATTATTTTCTCTATTTTTTTTTTATTTTCCAGCCTGCATGATCTTAACTATTACAACAACCATATTATTCTGCTGCAAAGGATCTGTAAGAACGAGGAATTGTTTATCTGTATGTCTATTCAAACACTGTGGTTGGTGTATTTGTTATAGAAAACGCGAACAGGACTCTTTTGAAATGAGCGGGACATATGTTGGGAAACATCATAATTTACCAAATGACGTTGAAATATTTCTTGGAGATGTACATGTAAATGATCCTAATGAACTTGAAAATATTTAAGTTGCAGTTGCAAACTATTTCCAAATTCCTATGCCAGCTATAGTTTTACCAAATCTTGTGCAACATGATCAACATATATTCCAAAGACTTCATCCTCAGATTGCTCAACCACAAAACAATCCACAGCCTCAGATTGTTCAGCCTCAAGACAATATACAACCTCAGAATTCTCAACCCCATCACAATCCACAGCCTCAGATTGCGCAACCTCAAGACAATATACAACCTCAGAATGCTCAACCCCATCACAATCCACAACCTCAGATTGTTCAGCCTCAAGACAATCAACAACCCCAGATTGTACAACCTCAAGACAATCCACAACCTCAGATTGCACAACCTCAAGACAATCCACAATCCCAGATTGCACAACCTCAAGACATTCCACAACCCCAGATTGCTCAACTACAAAACAATCAACAACCTCAGATTATTCAACCACAAGACAATCTTCAACCGCAGATTGCTCAACCTCAAGACAATCCACAACATCAGGTTCCTCATCAGAATGTACAATTAATACTACCTCAAAACATTCGTCCACAGGAAGTGGTACTTAGGAGATCATGTAGAAAGAGATCATTCACGAAAAGATATTCTGAATAATGTGCGTTCACTTTGAAGTTTACATGATATAATCAGTTTTCTGTTTATAAAGTTATGCAGTATTATTTTAACAAGGTGCTACTACATTATATACATTTTTTTTTGTTGTTAATTTTTCAGTATTATGTTTTAGTTACCTCAAAACATCCAAATGTTTACATTTAAAAATCCAGAGTTGATAACATGTAGCATGTATATTTATAAATTTATACAGTATTTTTTTTTAAAAGTTGCTACTACATTTTATATATATTTTTGTTTGTTGCTAGTTTTGTATTATGACTCAGGAGGACCTCTTCATTATTTTCACTAAATAAGAAATGGACCAATGTTGAACTGTTTTATTTGACAAGCTTTTCTTGTATACATTCCACAATGCACACCCACATATTGATAATTCACACCACCAAAATTGACCAGTTAAAATATTTTGTTTCGCATATCTTTCTTTTTTTTTAATTTTATAAGGATTACTTTAATAATGAGATTATAATTTACACTACAGATTTTATATGATATCTTCAAATGAATCATTATACATGTACATATTTTTTATTAATTATCTATGACATTTACAATAAAGTTTTAAGATTAAGTCCAATGAAACTTGTTAGTCTTTCAATGAATATGTTTTTGTTTTTTATGATGTTATTTAGAAATTTGTAGTTTTTGAAGTTTTAAGATTAAGTCCAATGAAACTTGTTAGTCTTTCAATGAAATATGTTTTGTTTTTTATGATTGTTATTTAGAAATTTGTAGTTTTTGAAGTTTTAAGATAAGTCAATTGAAACTTGCTAGTCTTTCAATGAAATAGGTTTGTTTTGTGATTGTTATTTAGAAATTTATAGTTTTTGAAGTTTTAAGATGAGTCCATTGAAACTTGCTAGTCTTTCAATGAAATAGGTTTGTTTTGTGATTGTTATTTAGAAATTTGTATTTTTTATTTATAAAGTCTTAAGATAAGTTGTTTTGTTTCACCACCTGAATGCAATTAGTTTGATGATATGTTTCACCACCTGAATGCAATTAGTTTGATGATATTAATACAACAAGCTTCATTTTGATGCACTACCTCTTAAATATTTTCACTAGGTTGAACATTGATCAACGTTGATATATTTTACTTCAGATGCTTTTCTCGTTCACAATTCTATATACAATTTCTACTATAGACCAATGTTGAAATATTTTGTTTCCCATATCTTTCTGTTTTGTAAATTTACGGAGATTACTTAATGAGATTATCTTTTACACCAAAGATTTTATATGATGTCCACAAATAAATTGTGATAAATTTACATACGTAATTTTTTGAATTACTTACTCATGATGTTTACAATGGGTTGTTTTTTAATGATGTTTTAAGATCATGTGAAACATTTTAGTCTTCCAATGAATATGTATGTTTTGTTATTGTTATTTAGAAATTTGTAGTTTATTTAATAAAGTTTAAGATAAAGTTTGTGTTATTATGTTCAAAACAAAGCTTGTTGAGACAGTGATAAGAATGTGATACTTCACACTTAGAATAGTGTGGTACTATTATACAATGAGATTATAACACTATTTACTCCTTTATAGAACCATAAGGGAATTATTTAGAGTACAGTTTTATTTTTCATTTTGTTTTCAACATAAATCAGGTTGCTAGTTTCTTGTTTGAATTGTTTTACATTTTAGAGTCTATTATTGCTTACTACGCAATGTGGATTTTGCTCATTGTTGAAGACCATTTAGTTTCATATTCATGTGGTCTTGGTTTAACAGCTGTCTCATTGGCCTTCTATTTTTCCAAATTGTTAAATATAAAAAAAAAAAAAATGGTGTATCAATTTGTCTACAAACATAGTTGTCAGAGGTGGTTTTATGATTGACTGAAATGCAAAAGAATTGGGACCAGGTAAGAAATTATGTTACACAACAGGTCGCCCATGAACAATGAGCCAACACAAATTACAGACAGTATATAACAATGAAAATTAATATGATATTACTGAAATATTTTAATGAATCAAGGTTATAATAACCATATTAAAACCTACCTGATTATCTTTCAACACCATAGGTAATACATACTTGTCATCAGAGTCGAAAGACATTGGTGTGTAAGAATGGGTATTTTTGGATGTTTCAATAAAATCTATGTCACATAGAGGTGAGTCATTACTGTCACCAATATCAAACTGGATTTCATAATCAGACGAAGTAATATCAGATTCACTATGATCATCAAAAGACAGTGATATGACGCAATCATCAGAGGATATTGATATTATTGACTCATCATCAATAATTATGATGGAGGAGTCCCCACAGTTATCACACTCATCAGAAATCATGTGATTGTTAATTGATTCCAGTTCTGAATCCATCTTTATAACTATAGGATTTTCAATAGACCCCAATTCAAGACGTGCATCATCAATTATAGCATATATATATATATATTCCATTCACTATTTCTACTGGTTGCAATACGTAATAAAGATCCATGATAAGCCAATTTATAACAAACAAAATTTAGGGAAATAAATGAAAATAATTCATACAGGTTATAATATGTGAATATAATAGTTGAATCTATCGTGGTAGGATAACCATGTAATTTTTGATAGCAAGAAACAGTGGACCATAACAACAGGTAGGAAATGGATAATTATTGTGAAAATTATTAAAAAGGAATTCTTATTTTCAGTGCTCGTTATTATCAACCCCATCATTATTCATTATCATTCAGCACCTCTTAATGATCATGAGTGAAAATCGGCAGTTGATTGGAAATGTGAGCAGGTCGTGCATTTAAAACAGCTTTTTTCCCCTTTTGGTAAGGTTTTTGTTAACCTTGGATGATAAGTACTAGCATTAAAAAAGGGGTCTATCATCTGTATGACCACAACTTATTACCCAATGAAAATCATCTGTTGATGGAGACTAATGAGCAAATACGAACAGAAAGTGGGATGATAAAAATTGTCCAACGAAAACATAATTTTGTTAATGTGGGAAATTCATTATCAACACCACTAAATAGTCACGAGGAAAGATATTGTCCAACGAAAAAATCGTGAGTGAGGATTTTGTTTGTGTGTGATGATAAGTAATAGCTATAAATAAGGGTCAAATACTTATCAAATGTATCAGATTTATAATTAATTTTGAAACAACATGAGTGCATTAAGAACCATCACATATGAGGACTCCATCCTTAGGATAAGTGGAACCTTCGGTTCAAGCAAGACTGTGTCCATCAATAATTTTGGAGGAATTACCTACATCCATCTGAAGTGTCCAAAGAAGAATGGTACAGGTTGGAAAAGCTTTACTATGACGATGACTGAAAATAGAGAGAGCTAATGAGAATGGCTGGACCTAACCGGTTAGCAACTATTGATGAAAATTTTGACATCCAGGTATGTGAAGTTTAATTTGTATCTATATAGAAAAATCCACTCACAATTTTAGTACATTCATACACAACCGAATCTAGTAATAAAAACTTATCAGAAATTCTAATTTGAATGAATAAAAACCCCCAAACCATCATATACAAATATTCGAAAAGGGGGGTCTTGAGTTAGACAAATTAAAACAAACTAGGGATAGAACCTACTTGCAGCAGGGAGATACACATAATTTTCACTATAATTGTATAAAAAAATCACCACTCATTGTCTCAACATCATATGTGTAACTCATGGATTGTTGTCATTTCAGAATAGCAGGAACCAGAAACAGGAAGAAGAGGCCTTGAGGGCAATGAGGGATACCGAAGAAACGGAACATGGAGAAACCAGCAGTCTCAAACATGGGTCAACTGTGAAGTTGGAGAGCACAATGACAAAGAAAATTAGGGCTGCGGAGGCAGAAATCCTGATAACCGTAGAAAGCGACGAGGATGCTTGAGAGTGATCGTCTTAAAACAACAATGTATAACTAATATATGTAAAATATTGTGTATGACACCTGTATCTCTACTAACCCGGGACATTCTCATGAAATTACCGTCATCACTGTTGATGGAACTTTATCAAAATTTTGATTCTGATCTGTCAAACAACACCGTTGATGTGGTATTCATGTTGTATGAAATACTAACACAGCGAACTTTCGAGGTGCCAAACGCCTCTTTGTATCAGATTTGTTGCAGTTCAATTGTTAGGAAATGTGGTTTTCTAACTAGTGAGGAAATTTCATTTCTTGTTAGGAAGATGGACTCTAGCGTTCTAAATGATCTATCAAACATTTTACTACATGAGCATTGGAGTCGCATTATTTCAAACATTCTAGCAGCAAGGAATATTTGATTGTCATGGTAAACCTATTAATCTTCAGTAAAATTAGTAGATTATGTTTTGTAATAGTTTTTGATTTAACAGTGTTGTTTTATTTAATTTATAAGAGCAAGATCACTTCTGTATTTGGCAAAACTTTTAGGAATTTTGGTCCGTACTGCTCTTCAACTTCGTACTTTATTTGGCCCTTTTAACTTTTTGGATTCAAGCGTCACTGATGAGTCTTTTGTAGACGAAACGCGCGTCTGGCGTATTTACAAAATTTAGTCCTGGTATCTATGCTGAGTTTATTTTCTTGTATTTTGTGTTTTGTTTTCTTATGGGGAACGACCTTTTTCTACCAACCAAACAACCGAATCAAAGTATTCACATTATGATTTTTATAGTATATAGTTAAGAGTCCAACCCAACCCTTTTGTACAGAATGAAAATGTTTTTTTTTTTTTTTTACTCCATAACTTTTTGAATTGTCATCATTTGCTGTGTTTTTGTTTACTTATAACGCAATATTTTATATCTGATGACACAACACACACGGGGTGGGAAAAAACACATATTACAATGTATATATATAAGTCTTATCCTTAAATAACCCCGGCTTCTTTGCATTTGTGTTGTCGAAAAGAAAATGATCCCTACTATAGTTGGAAAAATCAAACAAA